TATCACAAATGAGTGTAATGCCCCCTGTCTTTAAACTTCTTGATCCTCATATGAGAGACACGCTTGAAATAAATGCATTGACCCAGGGAGACCATGCTGGAGGAGTCATTGAATCTGATTTCACTCCTGGTAAGTACTGTATGCAGATCAGTTGTGCCACCTACAGAGACTGGTTGTGTTTTGATATGGAAGGCCTGCCAGCAGATCTCATTAGAAGTTTAGCTGTGAACTTTTCTCTCACCAACCCAAACATTTTGGTTACAGAATTTTATCTTTCTTGTTACTTGACTACTTTTCTGCCATAGGAATCCTTTCAACTGTGATTCTCATATTGTGCAGGGGAATTGCAGTAGCAGATCCCACACAGCCTTGTGGGTTGAGACTTCTTATTGAAGACTATCCTTATTCAAATGATGGTCTCCTCATATGGTCGGCAATCAAGACACTGGTTCAGACATATGTTAATTACTACTACTGGGATGCAAGTTTGATATCTTCAGATACTGAGCTCCAGGCCTGGTACAATGAATTCATAAATGTAGGTCATGTGGATCTTAGACATGCGAGCTGGTGGCCTCAACTTTCAACTCCCGACGATCTGATCTCTGTCCTCACAACAATTATTTGGCTCACATCAGCACAACATACTGCATTTAACTTTGGGCAACATCCCTATGGTGGCTATGTCCCAAGCCGTCCACCACTCACACGCCAACTCATACCCAAGTAAAATTACCCAGAATTTGAAAATTTTCTTGCTGATCCACAAGGGTACTTCCTATCTTCATTGCCAAGCTTGTTTCAAGCAACGGATCTCAGAACATTCACCTGATGAAGAATATATAGGACAGAGAAAAGATCTGTCAAGCTGGTCAGGGGATGCTGAGATCATTGGGGCCTTCTACAAATTTTCAATGGAGATGAGAACGATTGAAAAGGAAATTGAAAGGAAGAATGCTGATCCAAATCTAAGGAACAGATGTGGAGGGCATTTCAACATATGAGCTGCTCATACCAAGTTCAGGACCTGGGGCTACTGGTAGAGGGGTACCTGATAGCATCACAGTCTGAAATAATCTAGATTAACATATCTGATTATGGATCTATGAAATATTTTGATATTATTCACAAGTAAGGGAAGAAGAAGGCATCTATATGCCACATATTACCATTTCTTTATCCCATTTCATCTAGCATTAGATTGAAGATGTAAATTCAGTCGGCAATAATTCACATTAATAACAGAGCAAGTTTGATCCTTCATGCATGATTAGAATCATGAATTCAGTCAGCCGCAATCCACAATAATGCTACGTAACATCGAGTCGATGAGAAAGCTTTAAAAAGAGAATCCAAGGTTAAGGGTTAACCTAAAACTATCCTAACAAGTTTCTTTTCAAGAAAGTGGCACCTACTACACCTCAACCAATTGCAAAAGCAAATGCCAGATAGAAAAAGCATAGTTTCAAAGACAAGCAAATTGCATATTATGCAAGGATCAAGTTCCTGACATGAGAGGAACATTAGATACTAGCACAAAGCTTTTTCACAAAGGGAACATCATCAGGTTGATCCACAGTATTATACAGACTAAAGAGCTCAATTCATCTGAACTTGGATATCATACAAAACAGAGCTTCATATAATATATAAATACACATAAAAAAGAAAAGCTTTTATATTTTATTGATTTAAAAGCAACTATATACAAAAGCATTATACTAAAGCCGGAATAAGGAGAAAAAGAAAAGAAAAAACCCGAGCTCTACCCATTGACATCATTGTACAAACTAAAAACACCCACATTCCGGAATCTCAAATTCCCTTCACATAAACATTCACAATGATCAGAAAATGTTTAATTTAAACAGAAGAAAATGAGAGGGGGAAAACAGGGTTCTAAGCCTTATTAGTCATACTTCTCTCTCCAAGAGTAAACGAGAAAGAAGACCCATGAAAGTGCCAATAAGATGTCGCCAACTGTCTGCCTGATCCAATCCCAAGCCAAATCCTCAACCCTCCTCTCAAACCAGAACCTCCACATCGCCATGAAC